AGATTATCCAGAATTCCGTGCCATATATTATGGATAGTCGTCGATAACATGTTCCGTCCATCGTATTCTCAGCATCCTTCTTTAGAACCAGATTTCTGTTGCTTCAAGTCTCTTCTTCATCTTTGGGGAGATTTTCAGCATTCGCTGCCATTGCTGAAAACAGATATCACGTAAGAGTTCAGCGTTTTTTTTCATTGTTCCTAAGGAAATTTTCCTGATTCTTAAATCTTTTGCATAACATTTGGAAGGCATCTTTCGCTATCCCCATAGCGTTTCAGGATTTCGGTGTCGTACTTTCCGTCCTCTGTTAAAATATATACAAAAGGGATTTGGCCTGACTGAACACACGTTTCTGACGGAAGAGAACAGCTTTAATTTAAAACTGTTAACTAAACGAAATAGTTAAACAGGCGGGGACGATTAATGAAGTCACAGATAACCTGCGAATTTAAATAAGATAACGTAATTATTGTGTTAGATTTGCCTTCAATAAGCAATTATATCCACTTTAGTTACAATTAGCGGTTGATAAAGCAGTAACAATAGTTCAACCATGGTGATCTGATTATTTAATGAGGTTTGAGCTGTACTTGTTAACATTTTGTGATTAGATTGCGTCACTATTTTATTCAATGAGGCTTATTCCATTTAATCAAGTGTTTTATTATTCAAGTCGATGTCTCCGTCCATTGCCGTATGCCAGGTAAATGGTAGTCAAGCTGATTTCATTCACTGAGAAATCATACCCGTCATAGATGATAGTTACGCTGGGGATGAAAGCAAATCTTGAAAAGCCAAACAGCGATACGGGATGGATGACAGTAGAAGGTTTTGGTGAACCTAAAAGATTCAAAGAACGTCAAAGAATAAAAAAAAACCCTAATAATTTAAATAAGACAACGTCGCCTAATTACAATTAACGTTACATATATTACTAACAATAGTTCAATCATGGTGATCTGATTGTTCAATGAGGCCTGAGTTGTTCTTATCAAAATATTCTGATGAGATTTACTACATTTCTTACTCAATGAAGCTTATTACATTTAATCAAATGTCTTATTATTCAAGTCGTTGTCTCCGTCTAGGACCGTGTGCCCAGTAAACGGTAGTCAAGCCGGTTGTTATTGCCTATCATTCATGGAAAATGTATACCCGTCATGATAGCTACATTGGAGATCAAGTGGCAGTAAGTCCTCTTGATTCCCCCCAGTCCGTTTCTTAGTATTTTTGATATTTTCGGTTTTATCGAAATACATATTGGTACAAGATTGCATCACTATTTTACCGAAATAGTCTTATTCCATTTAATAAGTTGTTTTATTGAAATCTTCGTAAACTTTAATCAAGCGCAACCATTTAAACAAACACATAAAATTATTTTGTTGTACAAAATATTAGGTAAAAAAGCATCAACTTTTCTTGATTTTAATGTCCTTTCTGCTTGGAAAAAGATAATTAGTCAACTTTTGTTTCTACCCCCGAGAGTACACGTCCGTGTCATACGCGTGCGTAATCTCGAACACAGCCCGATAAACGCCTCAAGGCAATTAATACTCTGAAGACAAAGGTTTATTAATAGCAAAAAGTGTAAAACTAGAGAAAGAAATTAATACATAAAAATAAGAATTAGTCTGAAGATACAAAGAAAAAAGGGTAACACGAAATATGACAAAAGCAACCAGAGGCTTGAACATAAAACTGAGACCATTTGTCTAAATGGTTAAAGAAATATAGCGAATATTTCGTTTACATAAATGTCTGCATTTTTGCTACAGGAATACATTTCAATGTCGCGGTGAATTTGCGGTAAAAGGAAGATTGAAGAACGTTTCATTTTGCAACTGTGTATGTATCCACATATACAGTTGTAAAATGGAACGTGTCAGCAGACATGGTAGAAGGATTCTACACAGAGAGGTACAAAAATATTTACCTTTATTACAACTGAAGTTGATAAGATAATAACAAGCGTTTAATCATGGTGATCTGATTGTTTAATAGGTATGCATGTCAAAATAATATCATGAGATTATAACACACTTTTAGTCATTTACACTTATTCGACTTGTCGATTTTTCTTGTCCCCAGATATGGGTTAAATAGCAGGACAGCTATTGGGCTTTAGTCTTGTTTGACATCAAGTCTAGATAAAACCAAGTCTCAATTTAAAACCCCCAACGCCTTGCGGCTCTACCCTCTCACTGGAAAAAAAAAGAAAATATGAAATATAAGAAAAAACCCACACTGAGCCATTCACTTAGCTGCAGAAACGCCGCCGACACAACACCAGCCAGCTGATCTCCATGGCGACTCAACTCCAGGACAAATCATCCTCAACCAGCTCATCTACATGACAACAAAGTCCAGGACAACTCACCTCCAACAAGCTCATCTCCATGACAACTCAACTCCAAGACAATTGACCATCAGTCAGCTCATCTCCATGAAAACTCCAGGACAACGCAACACCAACCAGCTCATCTCCATGACAACTCAAGTCCAGGACAACTCACCTCCATCCAGCTCATCTCCATGACAACTCAACTCCAAGACAACTCAACACCAACTAGCTCATCTCCATGACAACTCAAATGCCCGACAACTTACCACCAGTCAACTCAGCGCGTGGACAACTCAACGATATGCAAACTATGAATTTTTTCGTCGAATTTTTAAAAACAAATAAAAGTAATTTATTAAGAATCATTTTTAATGTGGGACTTTATTTTTAATTTAAAAATTTAATGAAAACTGTATCCAATTCCGCCGAAATTTTTAGTTAACTTTTGGTTAACTTTGTTTTACGGTATATCAACCTCAATGGGTTATTTAATGCCGATAAGATTTTAATTACTGATGTTTTTTTTTCAAAAATGTATTGCTGGTAATATTTTTTCAAAAGCGTATCGCTTGTAACAATGTATTTCTGGTAATAATTTTTCTTCAAATATTTATTGCTGAAAATTTTTTACAAAGTATTTATGGTATTAAAATTTATTTATAAAGTATTTATGGTATTAAAACCATTTTCTACACTTTCATAGTGTTTGACCCCTAGTTTAGGGCTTAACTATTTACCCATAGCTGGGACCCTAACAGGTGCTAGCACTCCGAGTCAGGATGGACCTGGGAACACCAGCAATTAAGAGGTGGTTCCATGCTCCTAAAAACCTCCTGATCAAAGGACTTGCTGTTGGATGTAGTTTATCATCATACCCAGGACGGAAATTTTCATTTGGATACCGTTGTAAAAAAGAACCAATCTGCAAAATTCTTTCATCTTCCTTTAGAGGCTTCTTCAATTTCAGGGGTGGGGTGTCAGCTCCAATTAATTGCTCAAAAAATGCATCTCTGTGTTTTTGCATATTTTGCAGCCCCGTAATGAATCTCAATATTGTGGGGTGCTCCATCTTGCAGCTTTGTGTTCAGTCTTGTATTTGCTGTTTCAGCATGGTTATTTGTCCGATCTTGAAAGTTAAGTACCAATCAGCCAACTAGGCTGTTGTCTCTAATAAATTACTAAGACAAACAGCCAAACATTCAAAATCTCTATAACCCGATCTAAGAGATGTGCACACAATGACAGCCAACGCCGGCCGAAATGATATGAATTAAACGCCACCGTTGAGTTGTCCACGCAGTGAGTTGGTTGATGGTGAGTTGTCCTGGAGTTGAGTTATCACGGAGATGAGTTGGCCGGTGTTGAGTCAGCGGTGTTGAGTCAGCGGTGATAAAGTGTCTCCTCCCGATTCTCTTCACTATTCCTCAACGACACAAACGAGAATCGAATCGCAAAGTGGAGTTCTTTGCCGGACAACATAAAACTAAATGTCCTCACAGAGATCATTGTCTTACTTCTCATCATCACTTGAAGTTTTCGATCCTGTCAAGATTAGAGACCTATTCATGGTTGGGTTCGTTATTCTTTACATGAAAATAATAGAGTTCGCTGTTCTAGACATCAATATTTTGGTACAAGTAACTTTAAGGGTTACTAGTTATTTTCATATACTTATTTTAATTTATTAATTCAGATATACATGAACAAAATGGATAGATCTACGTTCCCGTAGGTTGTGAAGTCATTGTTTGGGAAGGATAGATTATCAGCGATTGACTGGATGAAGAACAAATCACTTATTCGGCGGGAATTCAAATTTGAATCATGTAATACATTTATGAATTGGATAAAGTTCAGAACCTCTCTGGACTGTTAAGTATAGAGGTACCATATGAAAGATTGTTCACGGCACAAACGAAATGTACCAATTAGAAAAGACACATTTGTAGCTTAATAAAAAAACCCAAAAACAACAGTGAATTAATTAACTTTCAATAAATTATTTTATCTGTTTTTCTATGGAAAGTGAGTAATAGTTTCTTTTAATTGTTCATTTATCAAAAAACGAGTTCATCTATATTTCCAACATTCCTTTAATAAATATGGCATATTTTGTCAAGAGTTCGCTATTCTTTAAATGGGGGTAATAGGATTCTCTGATCTGGACATAGGGATAATACTGTTCTCTACGTGGGATAATAAGGTTCTCTGTTCTCTACGTGGGATAATAAGGTTCGCTGTTCTCTACGTGGGATAATAAGGTTCTCTGTTCTCTACGTGGGATAATAAGGTTCTCTGTTCTCTACGTGGGATAATAAGGTTCGCTGTTCTCTAGTTGGGATAATAAAGTTTGCTGTTCTTTACATGGGGATAATTAGTTCGCTAATCTTGACATGGCGATAAATGGGTTCGCTGTTCTTTACGTGGCATAATTGGGTTCGTTGTGCATAACATGGAGATAATTGAGATCACTTATCTTGACATGGGAACAATTTGGATCGCTGTTCTTGATATGATGGTAATTGGGTTTGCTGTTCTTTACATTGGGATAATTGGGTTCGCTATTCTTGACATGAGGATAACTGTTTTTTATGCGGGGGGATAGTTGAGTTCAAATGTTTTTGACGTTGGGATAATTGCGTTCGATGTTCTTGACATGGGGATAATTGCGTTCGCTGTTTATTATATGGGCATAATTGCGTTCGCTGTTCTTGACATAGGGATAATTGCGTTCGATGTTCTTGACATGGGGATAATTGCGTTCGCTGTTCTTGACATGGGAATAATTGCGTTCGCTGTTCTTGACATAGGGATAATTGCGTTCGCTGTTCTTGACATAGGGATAATTGCGTTCGATGTTCTTGACATGGGGATAATTGTGTTCGCTGTTTTTTATATGGGCATAATTGTGTTCGCTGTTCTTGACATGGGGATAATTGCGTTCGCTGTTCTTGACATGGGGATAATTGTGTTCACTGTTCTTGACATAGGGATAATTGCGTTCGATGTTCTTGACATGGGGATAATTGTGTTCGCTGTTTTTTATATGGGCATAATTGCGTTCACTGTTCTTGACATGGGGATAATTGTGTTCACTGTTCTTGACATAGGGATAATTGCGTTCGATGTTCTTGACATGGGGATAATTGTGTTCGCTGTTTTTTATATGGGCATAATTGCGTTCACTGTTCTTGACATAGGGATAATTGCGTTCGATGTTCTTGACATGGGGATAATTGTGTTCACTGTTTTTTATATGGGCATAATTGTGTTCGCTGTTCTTGACATAGGGATAATTGCGTTCGATGTTCTTGACATGGGGATAATTGTGTTCGCTGTTTTTTATATGGGCATAATTGTGTTCGCTGTTCTTGACATAGGGATAATTGTGTTCGCCGTTCTTGACGTTGAGATAATTGCGTTCGATGTTCTTGACATGGGGATAATTGTGTTCGCTGTTTTTTATATGTGCATAATTGCGTTCGCTGTTCTTGACATGGGGATAATTGCGTTCGCTGTTCTTGACATGGGGATAATTGCGTTGATGTTCTTGACATGGGGATAATTGAGTTCGCTATTTTTTATATGGGCATAATTGTGTTCGCTGTTCTTGACATAGGGATAATTGCGTTCGATGTTCTTGACATGGGGATAATTGTGTTCGCTATTTTTTATATGGGCATAATTGTGTTCGCTGTTCTTGACCTAGGGATAATTGTGTTCGCCGTTCTTGACGTTGAGATAATTGCGTTCGATGTTCTTGACATGGGGATAATTGTGTTCGCTGTTTTTTTATATGGGCATAATTGCGTTCGCTGTTTTTTATATGGGCATAATTGCGTTCGCTGTTCTTGACATGGGGATAATTGTGTTCACTGTTCTTGAGATAGGGATAATTGCGTTCGATGTTTTTGACATGGGGATAATTGGGTTCACTTTTTCTTTAGGTGGATATATTGGGTACGCTAATCTTGACAAGGACTGAAGTTTCTTTAAAACATAATTGTGAATAAACTGTTTGAAGTTTCTGAGATGTGGGATTATAATTATCTATATTATTTACATTGGGACTCATCTTTATTTCTATTATGACAATCTTTCGGACTTCTTCAGGGCACACTCAATCCGGGCAATCTTCAGAAAGCTCGGATGTAAATAAATAGTTAAAAAATCATATTTTTCCTACTTTTTAACTTCAAAAGACTATGTCATTAGTAAAATTTAAAATTATTCAGTTTCTCTACAACTTCTATCCATAAACCAGAAACCCAATCCTAATCTAATTAGTTAATTGGCACCAATTAAGTCCTGCTAAATACGGTGGCAAATAATGAATTCACATAAAACCTAAGAATAAAAACTAATAATTAAAAATAAAGTCGCCTATTATTAATGTTAGATGTGCCTTCCATTAGCAATTGTATTCATCCAAATTTCGATTAACAGTAGTAGTAACAAGAGTTCTATAATGGTGATCTGATTGATTAAAGAGGCCTGAGATTAACTTGCTAAAATATTGGAACAAGAGTTAAACCTCTAATTCTATTCAAAAGTTCAGGGAATAGCGTAAGCAATACGATAGGCGAACCTACCTACTCCTGTTGTAGCTGTAGTGAATTCGATCCACACTGGTTTTCCCAATCATAAAACTATTAGCAAAAAGGGCGATTTAACGGAATGTATGCAAGGACAGTTTAATAAAAAGAGACACAAAAATATGTTTAAACTGCTTGGAAAATTTAAGAATATATTTAAACAATCCAGAACTTATATGTAAAGCACACCGCCTTGAATTTGCCAGACAATGCTATTTGTTAATCCATTCACCATAAACAAGGCGATAATTCCACTAAGACGCAAAGTGAGAGTGCTACTGGGAATGAAAGAGAATGAAAAGAATTTAGAAAAAAAAACAGCAACACAATCCAAATCTAATTAGTTAATTAGCACAAATTTTGTGATACAAAATACAGTGGCGATAAATTAATTCAAAGAAAACCTAAGAATCAAAAACTAATAATTTAAATAAGAAAACATTGCCTAATTAGAATTAACGCTACATAAATTAGTAAAAAGAGTTCAATCATAGTGATCTGATTGCTCAATGAGACCTGGTGTGTACTTATCAAAATATTCTGATTAGATTGCTACATTTTTTACTCAATGAGGCTTATTCCATTTAATCAATTGTTTTATTATTCAAGTCGTTGTCTCCGTCCACGGCTGTGTGCCAGGTAAATGCTAGTCAAGCCGATTGTTATTGCACTTCATTCACTGAGAAATCATACCCGTCATAACTGATGGTCATGTTGGGGATCCAAACAAATCTTGAAAAAGCCAAACAGCGATAGGGAATGGATGACGGGAACAGGTTTTGCTGAAGCTGGAAGATTCAAAGAAAGTCAAAGGATAAAAAAAAAATGATAATTCAAATAAGACAACGTCGCCTAATTACAATTAACGCTACATAAATTAGTAACAATAGTTCAATCATGGTTATCTGATTGTTCAATGAGGACTGAGTTGTTCTCATCAGAATATTCTGATGAGATTGCTACATTTTTTACTCAATGAGGCTTATTACATTTAATCAAATGTCTTATTATTCAAGTCGTTGTCTCCGTCCAGGACCGTGTGCCCAGTAAACGGTAATCAAGCCAATTGTTATTGTCTATCATTCCTGGAAAATGTATACCCATCATAACTGATGGCTACATTAGAGATCAAGTGGAAGTAAGTCCTCTCAATTCCCCCGGTAAGTTTCTTAGTGTTTTTTATGTTTTGGGTCGTTTCGATAATTTCGATTTTTCTTCACATTTCAAGTTGTTAAAGCTTTTTAGGTAAGCTGTCTCAAGTACTCCAACAATGATGGAAACTACTGTCACATTGTTCTCAGGTGAAGACAACGGCTTCAGTAAAACACTTGATTAAATGAAATTGATTAGAATGAATTCAAAGAAACCTTCAAGATAACAACTAATAATTTAGATAATATAACGTCATGGTGATCTGATTGGTTAATGAGGTCTGAGGTTTAATTGTCAAGATATTGCGACAAGATTGCATCGCTATCTTAGTCAAATACGTTTATTCCATTTAGTTAACTGAATTTTCAAGTCGTTGTCTACATCTAGGACCGTGTGTCGGGTAAAATGTAAACACAATCCTAAACACGAAACAAGGAATATTGGCCGGCTACTCGTTTCAGAGTACAACCTATCTATCTATCTATCTATCTATCTATCTATCTATCTATCACAGCCAATACCTACATATCACAGTCAATATTTATCTATCTATCTATCTATCTATCTATCTATCTATCTATCACAGTCAATATCTACCTATCTACCTATCACAGTCAATATCTATCTATCTATCTATCTATCTATCTATCTATCTATCTATCTATCTATCTATCTAAGTCGATATCTAGCTATATATCTGTCACAATCTATATCTATCTATCTATCTATCTATCTATCTAATATGACGGATATAGAATTTGGTTTCAGTTTTACTATATGAAAGCTAAGAGTGTGTACACACTGTTCGTAGGGATTATTGTCTAAAGTGCTTTCTGACAATTCATTAGCCTATTTCAAGAGGTTCGTTGCTAGTATATTTTTCTATGTTTATTTTACTAGCCTTTTTGTATAGTAGTAGTAGGAGTAGTAGTAATTCTGAGCCTTTCTGGATGGGAGTAGTAGTTGTGGTAATTCCATGTTGGGTCACGTTTAGAACACCTCTAACATGTTCAAGTTGTTTAAAACAAGTGATATTGAGGATAGGCTTAAACGGCTTCATAAAATCACTTCCATTATCATTAAACCTCTTTTAAAATTGGATGTTTTTAGAATGACAGTGGTATAAGCAACGTTTTTTTCTTATGGGAGCAGGAAGTTGAGTATAAGTGATTAACTGCTTCCTTATCGAACTAAAATGTCTTCTTATCAGTATCATACTTAATGAGGTTGTCGCTTGACCAATGTACGGTATTTTACCGTTTATAAGATGCATTTTATTCTATAAAATATGACAATCCTCTACCACTTCATCCCCAGCCCCTCAACCTCCGGCGTCTTCCTCTTTGGGTTGAGGTGTCCACTCGGTCCCAACCGAACTTAGGGGTAACTGGCCGTACGCTCCCTGAGTACCCGTAGATTATTTCAACCGGTCAACTGGTCAAGTCTTGCTCGCTGCCCACACTGTGTTAGTTTTTAGATCCAGTAAGCGGGGAGTTGTTCCCACGTTCACGGTCGATTGGGGGTGTGGACACGGCTGTGAGAGTTGGCGCTAGGAAGTTTTAGAATGTGGCAAAATAAAACAAGAAATAATATCTGCAGAAGCCAGACAACAATAGGGGAAATGATGACGTCTTTTATTTAAGAAGATAACATCAGAATTAAGGTTACAGGGAGAATAAAAACATTTAACATAAATGAGAAAAGAAAAAGAAAAAGACAAAATGCATCCAGCGAATTCCCAACAGAGAGAGGGTTTGTGTGTGATAAACGCGTATTGAATCGTCTGGGGTAGGTTTATGACTAATAGTCCAGTCTCATACAGACTTCTCAGAACAGGGGTTAGTGGTGACTCTCTCGACTAAAGTCTCTTTCCCCGACTCTTCTTTATTAGCAAAATCTCGAGTTAATATAGAAAAAGGATCAGCTGATCACAATTGACCCTCGGCCCGGCACGCATCTACCACGAGTGCCAAAAACTATCCCTTGACCTGTAAACCGATTCTCCAATTATTTACCTTATCTCAATCACGAGTTCTTCTTGCTTCACCAAAATTATACTTTGGGATATCAAAACATTGATTGAACCTTTTAATCAAAACAAATACTGTTAAACAAAATCTTGCCCATTCCCATTGTTTACTAGTGACCCAGATTCAAAACCTCGCCTCCTAACCTGAGATCGTGTAAACACACATCTTAACCCAAATTGTACTTTGATATATAAACACCGTTTCCATTTGCGTGTGTGCGATCATGTGGATGTGGATGTGTATAGCTCTTTCTGTTACATTCTGCGTTTTATAAATCAAAGGTCGTTGAAGGAAGTGTTAAGTTAGCTAAACTTATTGCTTGTAATAAACATTACAAGATTACTGGTCATGAGGTTTACAAGTAATAATACCGTCTTCTAGATTCAGCCTTTACCATTCAGTGGTATGGTTTAACAGGCACAAAATCTAGTTTTTTACATTATTTCTGGATTCAAATTTATATGTATCTAGTTTAAAATTAGTACACCATCCTGATTTGTGATGAATTTAGAACGATTTGTGAGGATTACAGGCTGTAATAAGTTTAGGCTTAAAAAATATCGAAATGTCGGATAATTTTTGTCTTTATTTTCACCAGAAATTAAAGCAAAAATTCAAACATTAGAACGGCTCATGATCAGACATAATAGACATTCATTGTCCGTTTTATATATATATATATATATATATACATATATAAGCAGCATAGCCCGGCGTTGTCCGTTTTTGATTCAAAAAATCGTATGACTCTGAACAGCAATCGCTATCACTTGACTTAAAATATTTTTGCCCTTCCTTGCCTTTTTAAAGGAGTGCCCTTTGCCGTGCTAATGTTGCTACATGCCTTACTTCTTGCCTATCTCACACTGTGAATTTTTCTAAGGTCTATACTAAACATTAAATCTGTTACGAAAAAGAACTAAACAAAATGAACACAAAACGATCGGCTTTAAAAAGGACTCGTAACTGGAAAAACGAACGAAAAAGAATGTTAACAACAAATACTTTTTCACATCCAACTCAGTTCTGCGGAATCAGAATCAACGTTGAGTTTTTAAAAGAAATTTGAATGAGCCAATTGGAGTAAAGTGCCATGCAGATTTAAATTTTTCGCACTTGTGACGAATGCAGCTATCGATTTTTTTTGCATGCTAGCATGCTAGTTGATATTCGTGTCAGTCAGCTGTTGGCTCTCACGCTGGCCAATAGAATCTCCCGGTCTATTCGTGGCAGCCAGGTATCGGCTCTCACTCTGGCCAGTAGAAAATGTCCGCTAACTACATGAAAACTGCCGTAGAAGCATGAAAAAATCGATTATTCCTACTATCGATGGCAGTTGGGAAATGCAAAGCCAGTCTTGGTCTTCCCGCTAACTTGGAGCATGTGCATGTAAATTTGCATTCGTTACACACACACACACACACACATCCTGCTATATATATATATATATATATATATATATATATACGAAAAAAATTCTCAGAGTTAACCTGTAGAAAAAGACAATATTTATAAATGTAAAAGAAAATAGGAAAACTGTAGTGGTAGCCGACGCGTTTCGTCCATTGTGGACTTTTTCAAGGAAAAAAAAAAAAAAAAAACAAAAACGAAATGAATTTATTTAAACAAAGTAACTACTAATAACAAATGAAAAATGTCCTTAGCAACTGGAAGAATTTAAAGAACGCTATTTTCATACTGTTAACTGAAAATTACGTCAATTACTGTCATGTGTGGAAATATTGTTTTTATTGCTGTGTTGACTGATTGAATCATTTTCTTTTGATTTCTTGATGCAGCTGCGTAAGTTTGCTTGGGAGAGTAGTAATTCTGTTAAGAAAGGTGAAATAGGGAAAAGGCCTGGGCGTAGATTAATATTTGGATAATATTCAATGTCAGCACTCTTTAGGGTTTTCCTTCTGAGTGAGTTATTTTCTTTTTTTTTATGAGTGTAGCGTTTTTAAAATCAAAATTGTGGTTGAATTTATTTCTATGTATGACTAGTGCATTAGCTGTTGTTTTTTGTGTGCTTTCTTTTGTGCTCATAAATGCATTTTTAAAAAAAATTCCACTTGTTTCTCCAATATATTGAGAGGAACAGTTTGGGCATTTATTTTATATATACCTGCTTCAAAAATATCATTAGCGTTTGAGGATCTGAGTATATTCATAATGGTTTTCGAAGTGTTTGTAACTATTTTAAGATTATTTAGATGGGATAGGTTATTCTGGATAGTGGACGTGACAGAGTTGGTCGGTAGTATTATGCATCTGTTTTCATGTAATTTATTATTGTGGATTATGTTATTAGTTTTGTTTCGGTTGTATATTTTGTATGCCATTCTTCTTGCATTGTGGATGAAATTTTATGGGTATTGTAGGTTTTTGAATGTGTTTTCTATGTATGTTTCTTCTTTAAGTAAATATTGAGGACTGCAGATCCTTAACGCTCTCTGATAGAAACCTATAATAATTCCAGATTTAATTTTAGAAGAGTGGTTTGAGTAGAAACTGATCAGGTCATTTTTGTTGGTAGCCTTTCTGTAAACGTCAAAATTGAGTTCGTTATTATTTCTATTGAATAAGTCCACATTGGACGAAATGCAGTTTACAGTTTTCTTATTGTTTTTTTTACATATATATATATATATATATATATATATATATATATATATATAGAGCATTTTCGTATTGTTTTATTCTGAAAACGTCTTTTATTTATTCAGTTTACCTCTGTAAGGAATCTTTCGGCATTCAATATAGCCAACAGTCAATGATCTCTTCCTCTCAAAAACGAGTAGTTCCGCTAGTATACAAATGAAACTTATTTTTTTTACATCATGTACTTTAATACGTATCTTAGTCTAAAGACACACACTTAAATACCTACAAACATAGTTTACGCGCACGCTGATACATATATATATATATATATATATATATATATATATATGTGTGTGTGTGTATATATATATATATATGAATACTATTAAAGCATTTACATACTTTCGCTGCAAACGCCAACTGGCAAACACAGAGCAATTTTATAAATTCACAGACATCAGAAAACCATTAGACTTAGTCGAACAAGGAAGAAGGAATATATAAAAACGCGTATATAAAATCAATTACCTGTATACCTACTTAATAACATTTTAGGAACCCCAAATAGATTTAAACAATAAACGCACCTGTCAATTCGGCTTGTCTGATTTTGTCTGTGACATACTTGCAATAACATCGCGGTCTGATTCGAACAAATGCTATATATTGATTCTCTCGAACAGAAGTACTTAAATATGTCTTCCGAAGAACTGGGCTGACGGTTAACAGCAGGAAAAACAGAACTGTAAAAGCTAGTTCGAATTCTGCTCTGAGCTGCTTCTGTTTACTTAGCGTTCATACACTCAGAGAAGGCATGAGTCGATTGCTCCCTGCATTGTAAATATGTAGTAAATGGGAGTGAAAATTATGATAAATTTACTCAGCAAGAAAAACGGAAGACAAGCTGTGTTCGATTTGAACAAGAAGTAGTTTTTGTTTACGTAACATTAACGCAAATAGAGAAGGCATGAATCGATTTCTCCCTGAATCGCATAGAGTTAGTACTTTGAGGTGTGAACAGAAATATTTTTGACTGAAGGAAAAAAGGAACAGTAAAAGCGAGATGAAATACAGCTTCTGTTTACTTGGCATTTAGAGAAGGCATGA